TCTGATCTTTTTCCTGCCAAAAAAAATTATAATACCGCTGGGAAAAAAAAAAAGTAATAGCGCTGAAGAAAACCACTAATAAAAAAACTTGTAATAAACTGATTTTTTTTGTTGTTGTTGTTACAGGACACAGTTTAACGAAATACACTGAGAAGTTGGAAGAGATCAAAAGAAGTGAGTATCTGGAGAGGGGCAGAAGGGTAACGTGCGGTGGGTCAGTTCAAAACTGAAAGAGCATTGAGGAGCAGGGGTTGAATCCCCGGCCCTCCGTTTGCTTGGAAATCTCCACTCCAATGATTCCCACAGCCTTTTACAGGAGTGAGCTGTAGAAGCACACAGCAGTGGGCCAGAAAGACGCTTCTACCTTGATTCTTTGCTGGGCACATTCCACTTTGTCGTGCGCCTTATTTCTGTCTCTCGCAGTGCTTTACAGATTTGTGATGGGTTGACCCTGGCTGGATGCCAGGTGCCCCCCAAAGCCTCTCTATCCCCTCCTCAGCTGGACAGAAGAGAGAAAAATATATCAGAAGGCTCATGGGTCGAGATAAGGACGGGGAGAGATCATTCACCAGTTACCGTCATGGGCAAAATGGACTCAACTTGGGGAAATTAGTTTAATTTATTACAAATCAAATCAGAGTAGGAGAGCATAAAACCCCTAACAGTTACCATCATGGGCAAAACAGACTCAACTTGAAAAAAAAATTAATTTATTATCAATCAAAATCAGAGAAGGAGAGGAGAAAAACTTCTAGAACTTAAAAACCTTCCTCCCACCTCTCCCTTCTTTCTGGGCTCAACTTCATTCCCAGTTTCTCTACTTACTCCCCTCAGCTGTGCAAGGGGATGGGAATGGAGGTTGAGGTCAGTTCATCACACGTTGTCTCCGCCACTCCTTCCTAGGGAGAGGACTCTTCCCCTGCTCCAGCGTAGGGTCCCTCTCACAGGAGACAGTCCTCCATGAACTTCTCCAACGTGAGTCCTTCCCATGGGCTACAGTTCTCCACGAACTGCTCCAGCGTGGGACCATAATTTCCACGGGGTGCAGTCCCTCAGGAGCAGACTGCTCCAACATTGGGTCCCCTGCAGGGTCACAAGTTCTGCCGGCAAACCTGCTTCGGCATGGGCTCTTCCCCCCACGGGGCCGCAAAGTCTTGCCAGAAACCTGATCTGGTGCAGGCTTCCCATGGAGTCACAGCCTCCTCCCTTCGGGTATCCACCTGCTCTGACGTGGGGTCCTCCACGGGCTACAGGTAGATATCTGCTCCACCGTGGACCTTCATGGGCTGCAGGGGGACAGCCTGCCTCACCATGGTCTTCACCATGGGCTGCAGAGGAATCTCTGCTCCGGCTCCTGGAGCTCCTCCTCCCCCTCCTTCTTCACTGACCTGGGGGGTTGCAGGGCTGCTCCTCTCACTTCTTTCTCTCTCTCCAGCCACTGCTCTGCAGCAGGGTTTTTTTTCCCCTTCTTAAATACATTTTCCCGTAGTCGCTACTGCCATTGCTGATGGGCTTGGCCTTGGCCAGCGTCAGGTCTGTCTTGGAGCCAGTGGCATTGGCTGGGCTAGAACCAGGGAAAGTTTGAGTCTTTCCAGATCCTCCTCTGTGCAGTTTTTGTTATTGAATGGAAACCAGGCAGGAAGGAGTTCTCTGGATTAGGAAAACTAGACTAGATTCATCTGAGAAGACCCTTAACTGCACTTCAGAGACTTTATTTCACTTTTAGGTAACAAAATTCTGTGATTCTGTGATTCTGTGATTCTGTGATTCTGTGATTCTGTGATTCTGTGGATTAGGAAAACTAGACTAGATCATCTGAGAAGACCCTTAACTGCACTTCAGAGACTTTATTTCACTTTTAGGTAACAAAATGATTGAGCTTGAGGTCTTTCACCTTTGTATAATTTTAGCGTACTTAGATTTCTATCAGAATACTCCAAGGTGGGGAAAAAAGCCAAGCTCATTCCGATGTAACTCATTGATTTCACCAGAAGTAAACACTGATGTTTGGAAGACTTTGGGTTGTTTAGGCTAATGAAAGCCTAACTGATTTTTATTTCAGTCTGTTTTCCCGATGAAAATAGGTACTTTTAAAATACTTCCTGATAAAGCTAATGTTTTCCTACTTTATTTTCAGCTACTGTCTGGATTATTTTCGCATAGAGAGCCAGGAAAGCTATGAAACCCAAAAGCTGCATTTATTGATGTGAAAGAAAAATCATCCCCATTAATGAGGATTAATTAGGATTTTGAATGTTCAGTTTTAGTTCTTAGACCCACTTAGTGTGTTCCTCTCTGATGGTAACAGTCAGATTATAAGGGAGGTCACTAATCTGCCACATGAATGTATTTGTGCTTGGCTTTGTGAAAAATGGCCCTTTGTTGCTGGTTGGTTTGTTGGTTTGGTTGGTTTGGGTTGGTTTTTTTTAACCACCACGAGTCTTTTGGGAGAATCAAAAAAGAAATTACCTTGCTTTCCAAAACCCTGTGTTGACCGACTAAGATTTCAGTGCTTAACACCGGATTGCCATCGCTTTTTATCTGTGCTGAAAATCTTGTTGTGTGCCTCTAGTTGGTTTTCAGTCTCTGCGGTGAATCTGATTTCGTTTCATGTAGGAGTTCTTTTGTTTAATCACCATTCTGGAGTCCAGTAGAAACTTTCTCATTATATTTGTGTTGAATAGACACCTTGTGTTCCCAGGCAGTTTGGAAACTTCTCCCCCTTGATTTCTCATGGATAGATGACACCGTTTGGACACAACTTTAAATACCCAGTACAGGCAACTCTCTGTCTCTTGTGTAATGTGAGAGAGTGGGACTTAATACCGCGAGCCTGCTGCGGAATCAAAAATAAGAGAGCTGGAACCATGATGATTTGTCTTTTGGAGGACTGACTTGAGGAGACACCAAGTCTCTTGCCTTTCTCTGGTGTTGCTTCACTCATTGCTGAAGCCCTGAGGAGCGCATCCTTGAATACGCAATAATTACAGCTTCAAACCAGTTCACTGAAGCAAAAAAAAAATGTCGGAAAATCCAAATGGACCTTCCAGGACAGAACCGGGTACGTTGTGTTGCTTTTGTAGTCAGAAGCAGCACTTCTGAACTTTCTGGTAACCGCTGGGAGGCTTGCGCAAGCGTTCAGATTGGTTTGCTCTGGGTTAGGCTTTGTCATAACAAGGGGTTTGTCTGGGTTTTTCTTGTTGATAGAAATAATTTTGGGTGGTAAAGGCAAGATCTAGGTCATAAAGGCTTGGTCTGGAGTAAACCCTCCTTGCTTGAGGTGGGAGGAAACCATCCAGCAGCTGTATTGTATGCTAACTGTGACAACAGTTCTGCTTTGTCAGTGTTTGCCTACATCCAGCACTTCATAACCTTTGCTGCTTTTATTTGTCCTTCTAAATTAAGTTTATTTCTTGCTCTTCGCGTGACTGAGGGGCTCTTTTTATCCATGACGGGGGAGTTTTAATCATTCGGACGAGGGCTACACATGGGGTTTGTGTCAGGCAGGTGAAATGGGCTGTATAAAACATAATTGTCGCCGTTATTTCCGCGTTAACAACCTGAGCTTGAGGCTTGAAACTAGGTGGTTTTGCAAGAACCGCGAGGGTGATTTTTTTTCTCATTAACTGACACTCTGAAATCTAGTTTGTGAAAGGGTCTTGTGCTTCAGACCTATGGTTTGGAAGCTGTAGTGCACACTGCAGTGTGCCGGGGTATTTTGGATGGGCTCCTTTTTTCGAAGGCAAGTTGTTTAGCAACAAGTAAGCACTTGCTTTGCCGCTGAAACATTATATAGAGTAGGATGTTGAATTTGGGAACTCTGCTTGCTCTGAATACTGAAAATTAATTGGCATACCTCTGCAGGAAGTGTATTTTAAGAGGGAAGGGTAGGGGGGAAAAAAAAAAAAAGAAATGAAAGCTCACAATCTCTCTTCCTGTGTTGGTTCTGCTACTGTAACGTGCCCGTTGGCTGTGTACGGGGAGAATTTGGACTTGATGATCTTAAAGGTCTTTTCCAATCTAAACGATTCTATGATTCTATGAATCTTGTCCGAGCAGAACGCCTGTCAGGAGGTGTGTGATCACCGCTTCTACTGGGATAAGACCTTGGCCTCCAGCGTTCGTGTGGCTCCTTCTCTAAACGCGTGTCAGCTTATGAGTTCCCGTAAGCTAATTCTGTGGTGGTTTTGTGTGTGGTGGTTACAGGAATATGGATTGGAGCCCTTCCCCCTTCTCCCCCATCTTCCCTTGCTTAAGCAATGGGGCATTCAGCAGATGGTTTTAGAGGATTTAAATTGCTTAACTGGCTGGATTTGAGAAAGGTCCTGTTCTCTGTTGTTAGCCCTCTTAGCTGAACAGCTGCAGAGGGACTGGTTTGGAATATCCTCCAACAGTTACTGAAATGGTTAGAAAAATGCAAAGGATTTTTCTTTTTTTCTTTTTTTCTTTTTTTTTAAATAAAAATCTGTGACTTAGAGGTGGAGCCTAGTACGGGAGGAAGGGGAAAAGAAAAGGGAAGAGGAGGAATTTGATTTTTTTGAGAGCGCTTAGATTCCTTAGAGCATGGCTTCAAGAGCTGCATGCAGAACTCTGTTACAGCTGCAGTGCCTGACACGGGAGGAATTTCGTTCGTCGTCTTTGCCGTTCCCTGCCAGTGCAGGATTGATCTTTTTGTTTTTCTCCTCTGCTCTCTCCTTTCTAGCTATAAATTTCCCAAAGAACGAGGCTTCCATTACTTCCCATGGGAGGCTATTTCACATCAAGATGTTCCTACCTGATACTCGTCTTAGCCTCTCTCTGCTACTACGTACACCCTTTTGTTTCACATTAGAAGGCTTCCTGGTGTTTATGCAGCTTGAGTATCTGCATGCAATCAGACATCCATCCTTGTCATCGCTTACTTAGTGCCGTTAATCTCTGCTCTGGTTGTTTGCCAGGCATTCCACTCGGTTTTCTTTGCTGCCTGAGCTTTGTCTTTGGGCTTAAGACTCAATTAGTCCAATTTCCCCATGGCAATTATGTGCGCTTCAAGCTGGTATCCGTGCCGAGCTGCTGGTCGGTTTTCTGCGTTAAATGCCTTCTGTCAGTTGTCCGTTCCTTTAGATATCTGCATTGGCAAACTGTAAGAATCTGTATGTAATTGTCAGATAAAGTAAGAAAACCTGGAGCAGTAAGATTAAATGTATGTGATTAGCTTAGTATTTAAAAAGATGTGGTCTGAGATACAGTGCCCCTATCCTCTGATTCTGCTATAACTTACACAAATTAAAAATTCAGGTAAATTAAATCTTCTGGTTTAAGAGGCTTTGTGACCGTAGCGGGCTTCAAAGAACAGCAGGCAAGGTGATAAATTAATGAAACTGCTTCCTTCCCCCAGCAAGAACAGAAAACACAAAAGTAATACAGATGTGAGTCTAAAAGGCAACTAAATCTGTATTTTCCACTTTAATCATATCTGGACAAGATCTCTCTTTGTAACTGGTATTACTTTTCACAAAGCCTTTAGGTTTGCTGCTCCGATCCTTCAGTGCAAGCTTAGTGCCCAGAAGTCCTGCCTTGCTGGAGACGAGAGTCTGCGAGAATAGCTGGGCCCAAGCCTATCGCCTGGTATTTGCAAAAGCTGGGAATAAACTGAAAACTGACATTGTCCTCTTCTGTTTTGTTTTTGAAGATTACAGATACAGAAAGGACGAGCTGTTTAAAAGACTGAAAGTAACAACTTTTGCCCAGTTGGTATGTATAGTGCCCCCTCTGGCCTCTGAAAGTTATCTTTTGTGAACAGCATTTTTGCTTTGAAGCTTTTTAAGTAGTTATGGAGCCTCAGTATATAATTCTTCTGTATTAGCTTCTTCTTGCCCTCATAGATTTCCCTTAATAAAAGCAAAACATTCAGGCCAATGTTTTCAGAGTAGTCAAATGCTTTTGGTTGCAAATTGAAGTTTGTAGTGACTCTCTTTGAAATTTATCCCCAATTTTTTTTCCGTTAACATAAGAGCATCATCAAGCTTTATGTCAGGTAGTCACAGCCTGGCGCCCTCCCTAATAACGGGTTTAACTGCTGAAGGTGGGAAGGTTGTGACTTCAAGGCTTTTTTTTAGTTAAAAAGTAATGAATCAAAATGCTGAAAAATGGAAAATCTGATCAATAAATATAGAGCTGTGTGTTGCTTCTATGTCTGTTCAAGAAAATTAGTAAAAACTAGCGAAAGACCAGCTTTCTCCTAAGGAGAGGAGGAAAGGGAAGGTTGAACTTGCAGATATCAAAGGAGTAGGGTTTTGCAGACTCGTGACTTTAGTTCCACCGGGTTGTTAAGAGCAATCCTGTGACTCTCACTGCTGTGATGAACTGATTTAGCATGCGAACACCTCGGGTCTGCTCTCACAGACCAGTTCACCATGTGCGATTTTAGCCAGTGTTGTGTATGCTCTGAAATGTTTCATAAAAGTCAGAAAGCATTCTGGTATTTAATATTGCCAGCACAGCATATCTGACTTTTCTTTATTTTAAGGTTGAGTATTCTTTTTTTTTTTTGGTTTTTTTTTGGTTTTTTTTTGTTTTTTTGCTACAACTTTCCTTTAATAAAAGAACACACTTGCAGTGCAGGCATCATATATGTGCCTATATGTGACCTTGAAGCCCGGTACAAGTTGCCTTGAGTTAAATGTGTTTTGGCTTGAGGATTGTTTTTCCTTAAGCTGATCCCGGCTGTCTTTCATTGACACCGGTGTGTGCGTATCAAGGTATCATTGCGTGCTTTTGTTTCCTGCAGGTCATCCAGGTTGCCTCTCTATCTGATGAAACCTTAGAAGTGACAAATGAGGAGATCCACAAGCTGGAAGGTAACAATATTTATTGTAAGCACAAAGAGAAACAGCTGTAGATCGCTGTCATGTGGTGAACTGTGTCCTGACAAGCATAGCTGACTACTCAGCAAGTCTTTTAATCGGGGAGAGAAAAATAACTCAACCTGTGGCCTTGCAGCCGTTCCACTTTGGGATGCATCGCTCCTCAAACAGAAAGGCTTGCAAATAAGAAAGGCCTTGTGCTGCCAATTTTATTGTATTAACTCAGTAGGTATCATGCATCAAGAATTACATTTTTATTGAATTCTTAAAAAGGAGGTCTTGACCCCTTAAAAATCTTACGGCTCTTTATTATTTTTAATATGAGGCTCTCGGTAAGTCATTCTTGTAAGAGGATGAAGATAAGGCTCTCTTTAAGAGATGCACTTTCTTCTAAGAATAGAAACTGGGCTTAAAACCTGTTTGTTTATTTCCTGCAGGATATTAACTCTTCATACCCTGTTCTCTCCCCAGATGGTGATTCTGCTGCTCCAGATGTGGATGCTGAACTCACGGCAGGGACAAACGGGAAGGGAAGGCCCGATGGGACGCCCAGTCCGGTCCTGTTCATAAACAACACAGGGGCTGGGGAATCCTATCGGTCCACGCTGCAGAGGTGCCTGCTAATAATGCACAATGTTCTTCCTGTCTTAGCAGATAATTGTTTTTACCCAGCTAGTTACTTTAAATTGCTACTAAGTGGCTTTATGTTGTATTTATCATTAAAGCCTGATTTTGCAGGTCTGAGGATGTGAGCGAGAGAGAGGGTTGGCAGGTTTTCCTGTCTGAATGAGTTTGTTTTGCGTCTGTAACCCAATGCTCTTACACCTGATGATTGTCTAAATGGTTGACAGGGAAATATGTTTGTGGGATTCGATCCAGGTCCCTGGGTTCAAGAATCCATGTTATAAATTGATCTGGTAAACTCAGTAATGTGCCTTCCTGATGATCTTAACGGATTGTCCTGTGATTGAGAATAAGAGTGTGATTTCCAAACCCGATAGGTCACTAGTTAGGGACATGGTTTAGTGGTGGGATGGCAGGGTTAGGTTAAAGGTTGGACTCGATGATCTTAAAGGTCTTTTCCAACCAAAGTGATTCTATGATTCTAGTCAAGGTCAGAGATACCAGGAAGGCAGTGTAAGAGGAAGCTTTGTCTCAGCCCTTCCCTTGCTCTACCTGTGCAAACATTAATGGAATAGTTGAGACGCTAGCCTGACGGGCTTGGCTGTCGCATATCAAAGCCATCACTTTAGTGACCACTAAGAGCATCTGGAGGTTTCTGTTCGTGTCCTGTATCCAATCGAGAGATGAAATGGAAATCCTCTGCATAGCGCTGTAGATGACTGACAGTTATTTACTGTGTCTGACTTGCTGAGATCTCTACGTTGGCAGCTTTTTAGAATTATTCTCCCTCACCTCAGAGTCACTTAGGACATTGAATAAAACTCCTGGACTTGACTGATCCGGAAGAGTACAGTATGTTCACGTAGCAAAGTTGTACTCTGCTTATTTTTTATATTGATAAAAAATAAATTCAGTCTCTTACGATGTACTGGAAAGCCTGAAGTAGGCTCTCTCCATTTTTACGTGGTGTCTGGTTGTCCTGGAAGGTATTGGAATGGTCAATGGAAAACCACTCTGACCTGGTGGAGAGGTATGGAAGTGTTCAGAGTAAGCACTTGCACCATAACCTCCTCTTCCTTCTTGCAGCGTGATAAGTGGTGTTGGTGAACTGGATATAGAAAAAGACACTCCAAAGAAAGTGAACGCTCTGGCTAAAGACATGCCTTATCCCGACTGTCCCTTCCTGCTTTTGGACGTACGAGACCGAGATGCATACGACCAATGTCACATTGTTGGAGGTGAGGAAGCCAGAATCCCACAGCAGCCACTGTTGGCTGGGGTTGTATATTCAGCTCTTTGTGTCATATTCTGGCTGGCTTCATTTTTTTCCCCTCAAGGTGGGACATCACTTGGGTGCGGAATGCTCTTGGCACTCATCCACTACACCCGCCTTTCCTGGAAAGGGATGAGGGGACCGAGCTGATGTTAATCCCTTACTCAGTGGGTTTTCAAGTCTGTTGAACTATAACAAGTCTGTATTGGTTGTGTTCCAGGTTGCGTGATGATTGGTGTTCAGCTGCTGTATGATTTTTCTCTTTTTTTTTTTTTTTTTTTTTTCTTTGTTCCCCCTATTCTGCAGCTTATTCCTACCCTATTGCAACACTCTCCAGAACCATGAACCCATATACAAATAGTATTCTGGAATATGTATCCTTTACATAAAAAGGGCTGGAATAAAAAGAAAGAAAATTTGGGGGGATGTTGGTGGGGGCTTCCAAAACCAATTGGAGCTATACCAGTCGCTGGGACGAGGACAATGCTTAATCAACAAAATCTGGGGTTTTCAAGGAGGGTGGGAAGGGAGGTCCTTTACGCTGGCTGTGATTACCCAGTGGGGCTCCGCTGCCACCATCAGATGCCAGATTTTAGTTCCTCAAGGTTGTAACACCTCTCGACTCTGGTGGGAGCTGCCTGAATTTGGCTTTTCTTGAGATTTTGTCTGCTAGAACGTGACAAAATCCCACAATCCTTTTTTCAGGGCCGTACCCGATGTTGTTCACCACGATCTGACAAATGGATTCTCTGGGCTGGGCAGAGCAGCTAAACCTCCCTTGATCAGAGCATCCAGCTGCAAACCCCACCTCGTTTCACAGGAACGTATCCATCAGATATGCTCCATCAGAAAGCAGAGGAAAGAGCCAAGTGCTCCTGGGCTATGTTGCCCCTCATTTATTTGCCTTTAAAGCACAGGCAAAGCCATAAGGCTCGGGCACACATCCCTCGCTGTTGCTGGGGCTCTGGGCTTCTTTGAGGGATGCGTTCATCAAATCCTTTGGCTTCCTCTCAGCACCTTGATGAGGATTGGCTTTTCTCTGGAGGACAGAAAGAGGATTATTAGCTAGGATTAGGCTGATAATTTCCCAGGTTGTTAGCTTGTGAGGGCTGCAGGGGAGAGGGGAGGTGGTAAACAAAGGTGCTTCATGCTATTGCCTGTTACTAACCGATCTTCAAAACGGTGGTGGACGCCTGCTGCAGGGACAGCACTCCAGTGGGGATTAGGCTGTGTCCTTCCAGCATCTGGCAAGCCCCAGC